GGAGATATCTAAGTGCAGGTCGTTACCATATTTCAGGTTTCCAGTTTTGTTGTAAATAATGAGGGGACACTTGAACGCTTGCTCGGTGGACTCTTTCACTTGCAGCCTCTCGGTCAGCGTTCTTCCCCCGCCTCTGCCTTTTGGAGGTCGGTCGGCGACGTTGAGTGCCCTTGCAAGAATCATGGAGGGGGCTCTGTGGAGGAGGGGGGCCGCTGACCTGGGGCGGCTGCTGACCTGGGGCGGCCTGCTGCTTAACTGGAGAGACCAGCACGCACAGACCGTCCGCTGTCAGAGTTCAGCACGGGCTCTGGCACCAGACAGCGTGGGTTCCAGTCCTGCCCTCTGTTTGTGAGCCGTGCGACCTTGGGTAACTCACTCTAGACCCTGCGCTACAGTCTCCCCACCTATAACGGGGTGCCAACGGCGCCCTTCGCACGGGGCACATGAGACTAAGTTAACACAGGCGCCTGAGTGGCTCTGTCGGTTAAGCCTCCGACTTTGGCTCAGGTCATGATCTCACGGTTCGTGAGTTCAAGCCCCGTGTCGGGCTCTGGGCTGACAGCTCAGAACCTGGAGCCTGCTTCTGATTCTGTCTCCCTCTGTCTGCCCCTCTGCTGCTTGCATTCTGTCTCTCTCTCTCATTGTCTCAAAAGTAAATAAACATTAAAAAAAAAAAGACTAAGTTAACACAAACTTTGAAACACTTAAGCCAGCTCTCAAAAACTGTGCCCTGTGATTTAGAAAAGAAACGATGCCATCTAATGAATATAGGTGGCATTGTGAGCATGCTGGGACTCCCCAGGATATTAAATGCCCCTGCGGACATTCTCATTATACTTGTCTCCACAGTCAAAATCTGAGGCAGAATTTCTAAAATGAGAAAGTAAAAGTTCAGCTTTAAAGTATGCTGTGCTAAACCTTTGTTTTTGAAGTTTATTATTAAAAAATTAGAATGTGTGTGTGTGTGTGGTTTCCCTTATAGCTCTTACAGTTTAGGGAGGGGGGGTGGCTCTTTAAGTTTCCTTGACTTTCATTTGTGAGTAGAACAATTGGCTAAATTCAGATTATCCTAGAATAATGCTTATCAAATTTTAGAGTATCTACAAATCGCCTGGGATCTTAAAATACAGACTCTAATTCCAAAGGTCGGAGCGGAGCCCAGCAATCTGCATTTTCAGCACGCTCCTGGCGCTGCTGCTGGTTCCCGGAGCACGAAGGCCACGAGGCTCTTCGGAAATGCGAAGGGGCGCCAGGCCGGTGCGGTTTCCCTCCCGCCCCCTCCGTCCTGCAGCCTCCGTGGTCCGCAGCGTGTAGTCCCCAGAGCTGTGCTCCCGCGCAAGAGGGCGGAGGGGGAGGCGGTGTCTGGCACAGGCAAATCCAGCCCGACCTTCACGCGGGGAGTCTGAAAGACGCCCTCCATGTTCGCCTAGACAACGCTCCGGTCCTCGTCCTTCGTGCCTGAGCTGTGCCTGAGCTCCGGGGGTGAAGGCCCAGGGGCTGCCCCGCGCCCACGAGCACACCGCAGGCCTGCCGGCCCTCACCCCCGGCCCTCCCGGGGACCCTGGGCATCCAGGACCCAGG